TTGTTAAGAATGAAAAAAAAAGAGATTAAACATCATTTACTACTCATATAAACTATATTCTCTCCCCAACTTCTGTGGCAAGAGAACTCCCAGTTGAGGAATATAAGCTTTATTGAGAAAAACAGATATGTCTATTAAGGGGATCAAGTTATGAAGTTCTAAAAAGCCCTTATTAATATTTTTAAGGCTGTATATAGAAGTATGCCTATATATCCTCCCACATTGGCCTCCCAAAGTGCTGCGATTACAGGTGTGAGCCATTGTGCCCCAGCCCCATTTAATGACTCTCTACTATGTGCCAAGCACATACATTATCTGTGAGAATCTAAAGTAATCTGTTCAAGGTCACAGGCAATAAGTATAAAAATGAAATTGAAACCTTAGTCTGCTTGATTCTTACATCCACATTCATTCCATTACACCATGCTGCTCCTCCACAAATCAATACCAATCCCTGTCATGAAACAAGATTTGTTCCTCTGCTATTATCATTTGCCCCAAAATATTACAGTTTCGAATACTTAAGGATACAATTTTACCAATTCAAGAATAACCTTCGGAATCAAATATTGACCTTTTATAGAATATCAATTAGATAGTGTATGATGAAGGCAAGAAAATCATCTTAACTTACTCCTTTTACATGTTCAAAGGTGACATTTTTCACCTGGACAGGATCTACTGCAGAATCAAGCCCTGTTATCTGGAAGCGGACTAAAGTGAAGAAAAGAAATGCTTTTACTTTACAGAGTAATAACATTCCAACCATCTGATTTTTCAGATGCAAGAAAGCAAAGCCTAGAAAACTTAAACATCTGAGAGACATAAGTTCCCATCTTAAATCAGAGTGAGGAGCAGAAACTAGGTCTTCGGATTTCTAAACCATGTTCAAGGAGTAAGTGATTCACATTAAAAAGACATGTCTATACGTTCCAGTTAAAATCAAGAATTATTTTCCTCTTCTCTTTGTAGTATCTAATGATAGAAATCTTAAATCAATGGTTCTCACACTCCAGTGTGAATAAAAATCCCTTTAGAAATGTGTTAAAATGCAGGTCCCCAGATCATGGTACAGATTTATGGTTTGCAGATTTAAGAAAGGGCCCAGGAGAGTTTACATTTTTAACAAGCACCCTTGATGATTCTGATACAATTGGTCACAGATCTACGCTTGGAACTATACTGCCTTAAAAAACTGGCAAACTCATTTAAAAACAAGTGAGACTTAAAAGATGTCACCTTTCATGTAGCCTTCTTCCTCTGACAACTGTTATTACTTACCCTCAAACAATATATCAGTAATGACATCATTAAGAATAAGACAGACAGAACAAGTTTGGTAGGAGAGTAAAATATTTGAGACCAACTTTCGCAAACTATTACAAGTCTCTCCCACTCAAGTAAAAACCCCCTGGCTCCAGGCAAGGCCAGTCTCTGGAGCAGTGAGTTTCGTGCCTTCCTCCTCTTTGGTGGCTCCTGCTGCCATCACCTCCCTCCAAGCAAAGGCTGGCTTTGTTAAGTGAGACTTGCTTACCGAAGATTCCTTCACCAAGGCCCTGGACTGTGCTTTATGCATAAAGCCAAAAGCACAAATGTATTTGGAATTGTCCCTCAAGACTGGACCCAGCTCCTCCTGCCTACCCTCCTCGCCCCACTCTCCATTGGTTTTTTTCTCTAGCAACACGTATACTCAGACTGTCCTCTGCTATCTTAGAAAGGAAGTGAGGTATTAAGGACAGATAGTAGCCTGGAAGGGCTGCACACCAAGCCCAGGGCAGTGTTCATCAGCTGGCCCTCCAGGAGTTGTCCACATTCCTCAGCAGAACATACAAGGCCTGTCACAATCTGACCTACTTCCTGCTTCTCTGCACCCATAAGCAAGGTGTGTGAGAGCATCAGAGCATTGGCAGTCCCCAAACACACCAGCATCACTCATGATAATCTGTTTTGGCTCATGTTGCTCTTTCCACCTGGGTTTTACATCTGCTCTGCTGGCAAACTCATATGTGAAATTAAGACCCTGCATAGATACCACGTTCTCTCTGAAACTTCCTAGACTGGGTCCTTCTGGGTTCCCACAGCATTGGGCCATGCCTCCATTGTATTCTTGGGCACTCTGCCTCCTTGCCCCGCCCATGGGTTTCTGAGGGCAGTAACTAACAGTTATCTCCGCAGGCCCACCATTTACCTGATAAAGGCCAGATACATAGTAGGTTCTTAGTCTGTGTTTACAGAATCAATACAAACATACGTTCAGCAATCAAAAATTCCTACAGTGAAACATTCTGTTCAAAAGAAACAAAGGTTTAAAGACATTCTGACGTTTTTAGGCTGGATGACAAAAATAAATAAATAAATAAATAAATAAATAAAAAGACATGACAGCTGGTGAGATGATGTTTTTGGTGGTGGTGATGGTGGCTGTCTAAGGTTATTCAATCGTATCAGAGGGGCAAAGTTCTTCTTCCACTCCTGCCACCTGCCCTCTTTCAGGCCGTACCAGTCTTATGGCCCGAGGCAGGAGCACCAGCTCCTCAACACTCCAGGTCATCAACTGGTCTCCAGCTGCTCTGATGCTGGGCAGGTGAGTGTCTGCCAGGGAACAACAGAAAAAGCCAGTGGGCTTCTGAGAGAAACTGTTCCACTGATGCTGTACTGCCCTCCAAACTGCAGTCCCATTACAGGTCCCTTAGTGAACTGGACATCTGTTAATCAATGGCTTCATTACCCCATGATATTTGCAAGATAAATGCTCTAATAGCAGAGGAGAAAGGGTTTATGCTAGGGCACAAGTAGCCATAGCACCAGGGAATGGACCTCTTGTCCGTCTGGATGCCCCATGGAAAAGCAGAAGCCTTGGCTGAGGACAGAAAGTACTTCATCCTTACTCTGCGGAAGGATGTGGAGACTTTGGTCGAGGGACTTGGACTCAGGTCTGTCTGGATGCCACATGGAGAAGCAGAGCCTTGGGTGAGACCAGAAAGTACTTTGTCCCTACTCTACCAAAAGGATGCTGAGACTTTGGTCAAGTGACTTGCTCATGCAATCAGAGTGGTAATTTGAACTTAGGCCACCTCGCCGCCAGCCTATAGACACACCAATAGAGCCTGATGACTGAGTCAAAGCCCTGTAAGAAACTAAAGTAGGAATATTACTGCCCAAGGACTTGAGCCATATAGGCTGGTAAGGAGGGGAAACTGAGTCACTGTAGGCCCCTAGTAGAAAAGGTTGGGGAGTGCCTTTATCTAGTGCATAGTGTCCACAGGAGAAAAATATCCAGCTTGGTTCTGATAGATATCCATAACCCAGGAGGTCAGGGACAAGCAGACAGCATATTATAATGCAAAGTCAGACCTAGGTTAGGCTAGAATCCCAGCCCTGTCATTTTCTACCTGTGTCAGAATTGTTGCTACCTCATGAATTTTCAGTGGAAATTTATGTGAAGTTGCTACTTTCATAAAATAGATGCTTAATACATAGCTGTTATTATTTCTTTTGGTGGCCCCTGAGGGCCCGGCATCAGTACAGGGGGCTCTTCACCTCAGGCAGATGCTGACACTAAGACCCAGGTGACTGAAATGTTCTGGACAGGACCCACGAAAGGAGAGAGTTTTGGGGGCTGGTGAGAGTTGGCCAGCCTATCTAAACTCAGCTGGGGTGAGGGTGGGGAGCATGGACAGAGATCTTTAGTCCTGTAGAATTAAAGTTCTAGGCAGGGAAGAAAACTCGCTCAGTCTTCTTATTTGAAAAAGGGAAACCCACGGTTCGTCTTTGTGGCCCCACTGGTTATGGGACTGGCACAAATTAAATGCGCCATAAAGGTTTGCTGAAAGAATGAATACATGAACAAATCTTCTAACCAAAGAAAGCAAGCCCACAGAATGGGCTTTTTCATTGTTCTTAAGTCATATATAGAAAGAGTAAGGATTCAGACAGTATCTTTTAAATGTGTGATTTTCCCCCCTACCTTTTACCTATACATGACAAAGATTTGGGGAAAATAGGAAATTCCCCACAGGAAGCCAAGATTATACCAAAGAACTTAAGAGTAAATGGGTGCTCATTATCTTTCCCCAAAGAAGATAAAAATCACAGAATTCCAGGGCAGAGCATCTACTCCAGGCACAACTGGCTGTATAACTTGCAGAGCCCAGTGCGAAATGAAAATGCAGAGCCCCATGTTCAAACATTACTTCAAGGCCGGGCGCGGTGGCTCACGCCTGTAATCCTAGCACTCAGGGAGACCGAGGCAGGCGGATTGTTTGAGCTCAGGAGTTCGAAACCAGCCTGAGCAAGAGCGAGACCCCGTCTCTACTAAAAATAGAAAGAAATTAGCCGAACAACTAAAAACAGAAAACATTAGCTGGGCATGGTGGCGCATGTCTGTGGTCCCAGCTACCTGGGAGGCTGAGGTAGGAGGATCAACTGAGCCCAGGAGTTTGAGGTTGCTGTGAGCTAGGCTGATGCCACGGCACTCTAGCCAGGGCAACAGAGTGAGACTCTGTCTCAAAAAAAAAAAAAAAGAAAATAGAAGTCAAACCCATTGGGCAGAGTTAAAAAGAAACTACCTGGAGAGGAGCATACTAAAACATGGAACACATCTTTAGGCCAAAGAGCACTCTGAAAATCTAAAATTAAAGTTGGGATTACCTTATATTTCTAGAAATTTTCCAGAAATATTTCCTGGGAATATCAGAATTATTAAAGAGCAAAGTTTTTCTTGGTGAGGCTTGGAATGGTCTTTGAAAATATTCTGACTAAATCATTCAAGATGTGCTAACATTTTTATCAAGTTAGTGGTTAACAACTAAGCTTTGTCCACTCCTAGGTCCAGGGGAAATATGTATATATGTTCACCAAGAGACCATGTACAAGAATATTCACACCAGCACGATTTGAGCCTGAAACTAGAAACAACCCAAACGTCCACCTAAAGTAAAATAAATACACAGTTTTGTGGTATTTATATAATGGAATACTGTGCAATGAGAATAAATAAACCATAACCACAAATAACATGAATGGGTCAAAAACATTATGTTGGGTAAAGGAAGCCAGACCCAAAAAAGGATATTCTACATGCATTACATCTATATAAAACTCAATAACAGGCAAAACTAATGTATGGTGTTAGACAGGACAATGATTATCTTTAGGATGGAGGGAGATAGCACCGGGGAGGTACTAGGGTTCTGGTAATGCTCTGTTTCTTGAGGTGGGTACTAATAGCATAGATGTGTATACTTTATGAAAATTTATTGAGTTATATGCTTATAATTTGTGCACTTTTGTGTCACTATGTTAAATTTAAATAAAATTTATGGTTAAAAAATTTGGCTGGTTTATTGAAAGAGTACATTTTTTAAAAAGTATTCGAAGATATACGTGTACTAAGACTAAAATACATTTGGTCAAAATAATGCCAACTTTAAATTGTTAAG